CCCGTGGGCACAGCTGGAGCACCTGGGAACCATGGGATCTGGTGGGAAAGGGAACCACTGGAAACCTTAATTTGAGAAGGGAAGAAGTATGGTGACCAGGAACAAAGTAGGGCAGGAAATGGAGAAGAACCAAGTGCCATGGACAGGCCTAGAACCATGAAACTAAAGTCAGAACTGGAAGAAAGCATCATGTGGCTTGCTGCTCAAAAGCTGGTTCATGTGGCACCCTCCTGAATGGCCCCCAAAGTATCTCTGGTGTGGAAGTCCCTGGATTTTCCCCAGCCCTGCCCTCTCCTTCAGTGATTGGATAGCAGAGGTGATAAGGACTTACAGCCCCTTTCTCATTGGAGAGGAATACTTGTCATTTGGCTTTGCAGAGAAGGTTCCACCTTGCTTGTAGTATATGATCCTTACCATGTGCTAGTATGTCACATTTTAAAGGACAAAACTGTAAAATACTTATATTAGCTTGTATTATAACATTAACATTGTTGACAGTATCTGTTTTCCAGGCTGAAGTGATTCACTCGTTACTCTAGTCCTGCTTTAGTCCTTTGTAATTTGTGGTAATTATACTTTTCTTTTTAATACAAAAAATGCATACAAATAAAAACTTGAAAAGAAAAAAAACAAAAACAAAACCAAAAAACAAAAGTTGGTGCATGAACAATGACCTCTGCATCTCCTGGGAGCAGAAATGAAGACTCTCAGTCCCTACCTAGACCTCTGGATCAGAGTCTGCATTTTAAGCAGATTCCCAGGTGATGCTGGCAAGTTAAAGCTAAAGAAACAAAAATCTGATCCAAGGCCGTTAATGTTTGACTTAAAGTTGCTGCAGTGGAGCCAGCAGAGGGCAGTGCTGCAGAGCTTACCAGAGCTATCTGAGGGACCTGGAAGTTGACGTGGCGCTGATGTGGTGAAAACTCGGGCTGATGCTGGAGTATTCTTTTTGCCCCAAATGACTTCAGTTTTTCGATAAGTGAACACACGAACCCACTTAGTTATTCTGTGTTGTTTATTTACTTATTTCTCCCACGAAAGTGATGGAGAAGTAGGCATCTCTGATTGGGTCCTCACACCACGACCTATCCCAAGTCTCAGCTGGCCCAGATCATGAAACACGTATGCATGGCATGCTTGAGGAGGTCCGAGGACCTTTTCCGTACCAGTTGTGTTAGCACTGTGCCACCACTAGGCCTCTAACCCACTCAGTTTTGATATATAGAAACAGATGGGAATCTGGGAACACATGAGAATCAGGCTTGGTCCTTGCCTTGCAGCTTCCAGAAAAGTGAGTTGTCTTGGCATAAGGTATTAGGTGCCATTGAGGGAAACCTGGCTTTGTGAGCGTGCATCCTGTGCCCTAGAACTCACATGGCGCCCTCTGCTCAGAAGGGCAGAGTTCATGAGTTAGTGTTCTGCTCTCACCATCTAGAAACTTCTAATAATTTTACTTTTTACTGTTTTTCTTGTTGTTTTTGCCATGTAGCTCATGTGCTCATGGAGGACAGAGACCCAGAGAGAGGGAAAGTGAGACAGCACTCTCCAGGAGGGTTGGCCACGCTGCAATCTCTTCTCTATTCTCCTCTCAGGATTTTGGGCACATGCATACAAGTGCCCAATGTATTTTTCCAAGCCACCAGGTCCAGGATTCTAACTGCATAGTCAGTCACGTGGGATCCAGTTGCCCCAATCTCTATGTCATCGACTGGACCTACCTGCTGCTTTTTAAAGATATTTATTTATTTATTTATCTATTTATTTATTTTGAGTCTCAAGCTGCTGGGTTTGGGACTCAAATCGCAGTTACCCATGTGGGAAGACAGTGCTCTAATGACCATGCCACTTGCTGACCTTACCTGGCCCTTTTTAAGTGAAGTCCATGGGGACAATGGAGCATGCCCGTGGGAGTAAGAGCTACATGAAATATGCATGTTCATCATCATTTCTTGTCATCTCATTTACATATGGCATTTGTGGTGCCCCACTGGTAATCTGTGGTGCACAGCAGACCCTCAGTGCGGGAGTTCTGGAAGACGCAAATGAGTGTAGAGTGCTGATGCTATGGATGCTGCCAGCTTTCCAAGAGTACTAGGAGGATAAGTATGCATCAAGAAGTGGAATCAGGGAACCAGCAGTTAGCGTAATGGCTATGTCGCTGGACTCCCATGTAGTCGACCGCGGTTCGCGTCCTGGACCCGGTGGCTTAGAACTCACGCCGGGTGTGTGTGCGTGTGTGCCCAAGATCCCGAGAGGAGAATGGAGGAGAAGAGATTGCGGCATGACCATTCCCCCTGGGGGGTGATTTCTCGCTTTCTGTCTCTATGTCTCTCTCTGTCTGTCTGGCGAGCGCACGTGCCCTATAGCGAAAATCTCTCAAAAAAAAAAAAAGTGAAATCAGAATATTTAGGTTAGGTCTGTGAAATGTTTCCTCTGTTCTGGTAAGAACAAAAGACATAAGTGCATGGGCTACAACATACAAATTGAGTAACTTTAATGATTCCCCATATGAATGGAAGTTTCTTACATTTATGTTTAAAATTGACCTTGTACAGTATGGACAGTAAGTTTCATGATAATCATTTATATTTTTGTCTTTAGTTAGATCACTAAATAGAAAATAAAAAAACATTATCTCAAGCAAAAACAGACTGTGAAGGAAAGAAGAAAGCTTTATGTGTTGGCACTTCATTTATTTACTTTTAGTTTTTTGTTATAGGGCTTGTGTGTTTGTTGGAGAGAGAGAGAGAGAGAAAGAGGGAAGGGGAGAAATCACCTCTCAAGGATTGGTCAGTGAAAAATCACCTCCAGAATGATGGCCATGATGTAATCTCTTCTCTTTCACACTCCTTTGAGGATTTTGGGCACACAAGCACACATACCCAATGTAATTCTCACTTTATCAGATCTGGAACCCCAACTGGGCAGTCAGTCATGTGTGTGGAGAGCAGCCATTCTGAGCAAACGTGGTGACCTTCAGACATATGCAGAAATGCGGTCTGTGAGCTTTATTTGCATAGCAATGAAAGCATTCACATATGAATACACTAGCTATGTGCTGTTATCAATACTGCAAAGTAGTATCAGGTGAAAGGAAGTCACCTGTGTTTATCAGAATCAGCCCCAAAAGATTAGAGAAATCACATGGCACCATTCTCATTTCAGTCAGCCGATTAACATCGGAAAACAACTGGCTTTGCATTCCATTCCTCTTTCCCCATTTTCTGAGGCTGGCTCCCATCTTGGCTTTCTCCATCAGAGAAGTTGGGCCCACCTGATCCTGCTTCTCTATATTTGTATGTCTTTGTGTGTTTATTACTATGCTTATTTCTAATCCACAGCCCACCTCCCCCACTCAGAAAAACGCATTTTACCGAGTGGGTTCTGGAACATATGGGATCCAGAGCCTTAACAACTATGCCAACTGGCTGGCCTTATTTTAGTACTTTTGTCCATTTATTCTTTTATTTTTAGGTTTTTGCCATAGGGCATGTGTGCTCACTACGGAGAGACAGAGAAAGGGAAAATGAGAAATCAGCCCATAGGGGATGGGCATGCTACAATCCCTTGTCTTCCATTCTACTTTCAGGGTTTGGGGCACACATGCACACACACACACACACACACACACACCTGACATGATTTTCAAGTCCCCAGGTCTGGGACCCGAACTGTGGTTGTCCATGTGGGAGTCTAGTACCTTAACCATTTTACTACCTGCTGGCCCCCTATTTTAGTACTTTTAATGGCATGTCTAACCTGCTTTTTGAACAAGGAGACTCACATTTTCATTTTGCTCCGAGCTCCACAAATTACGAATCTTGAGACCCAGCCCCGGTGGAGCAGACAGTAGGGATGCTGCTGCGTGATGCTGAGGACCAACTGTGCCAGGCGTACCCAATGATCCTGGCTGGCTGAGGGTCATGGCATGAAGATGCCATCAAGGGTTCTGGTCTCCCTCTCAGGAAATAAATAAGTATGTGCCTTGTGTTGCCCTGAGGGATGAAAGATGTAGGGAAGAGTTGGTGCCTATGATCTGAGCCATCTAAGGTGGAATTTGCCTCGCCTCACATTTCTAAGTAATTAGAATAGAAACACGGTGACATGGTGTCTGGGGAGGGGTCCTGCTCTTGAGCACCTGGGAATGTGCTAATTTGTGGTAACAAGTGGCTTTTCTTTCCTTCTTACTGCTTCCCCAGAAATGCTTTTATTCCACTTCTCAGTGTGTGTGTGTGTGTCCCCAAAGAAACTCTTCTTCCACCAAGGAAAGTGAGGGGGAAAAAAGTGTTTCTTTTTTTTTTTAGAGAGACATTTTTGCTATAGGGTGAGCACGCTTGCCAGAGGGACAGAAAGTGAGAAATCACATCCCTTCCCCCAGGGGGGAGAGCCTTGTTGTAATTCCTTCTCCTTCATTGTCTCGGTATCTTGGGCGCGCGCGCACACACACACACACACACGCACACACACACTTGGCATGAGTTTTAAGCTGCTGGGTCCAGGACTCGAACCACCATTGACTATGTGGGAGTTCAGCGATGTAACCCTAACACCATCTACTGGTCACAGGGTATTTCTCAGAAGAAGAAGGCCTAGCTAGTCTGAACAGAGGTGCAAGTTTAAGAGACATGGGGCTGGATTGGGCTGCAGGCTGGGCTGGGAACAGGTAGTGTCTTACGGAGCCCAGGCTGCTTGTCACCTGGTAACAGACAAAACCCAAGCTCTCTTCCCATGCATGTGCAGTGCAGACCAGGCAGCTGGTGCTGTTGTCAGTGATGGATCTGAGGGCTCCTGCCTGTGTATAATGGGAGATCCTGGTGAGAACACTGTGTCCATTTGCTGGCTGCACTGGATCCCCAGTGTAGCGGGGACTTGAAGAGTTGCCCACAAACTTATAGTGGTGAAAAGGGGAGAGTGAACTCAGCTGCCCCTGAGAGACTTGGGGGTCCTTCCATGTGGTAAAGCTGTGTTTTCAGGGAGTAAGCCTGACCCCATGTTTGCAGGAGACCTAAGGCATGTGTTTCCCCGGAGGATTTGGAACAAGGCAAACGACTGGGGAGAAGGCCAGAAGAGGTTCTTGGGAGAGGTGGAACTCCAGGAGGCTTGACCCTGATGTTGGAACACAGGTCAGGGGCTGCACAAACTATCTCCATAGCCACCCTGGTGCTCAGGTGCCTCTGATGCCAAGCTGGTCCTCTTTGTGTCTACATGTTCCAGTTTGTCCAGGCTGATGGAGGGAACGTTGTCTGACAGATGTGAACAACCTCAGGAACAATCCATTTCAACAATCATATCAAACCGTTATGTAAACAAATAAAAAATTTGCATGATGTTATTGTCATTATTTTGGTGGGAGCACTGTACGTGCATCTACATATGTATTACATATTGAAAAACAACTAGCGGATATAAAATTAAATAATTACTGTAGTTTTTTAAATGTTCACTTGAAAATCCTTGTAGATGGCTCGACAACAGACTCTCCACCATCCCATCCAGCCCAGGCTTCTGCCTTGGTTAGAAACATGGTTGTTGATGGAGGCATGGCCCCCTGGTCTTGAAGTTTCACTCTTGGGTTAGATGAGCTCGTTTAAAGTAAGATGAAAGCCAAGAAGGATGGGCACCATGACTTCTAGACAAGTTGCAAACCAAGTTATGCCAGGGGATCCAGCTGAAAGAACAAGAAAATCCCAAATATTTAGCTGTCAAGGTTAATGAGTTGAGAAGGGACAGGAGTACTTGATGTTGGCATGAGAACTTCCACAGCAGAGGGATGAATTTCCTCCCTGAAGCCCATTTCAGTGTGCCTGGAACACTCTTTTCCTTATGAGAGCTTAATCTCCAGACTTAAGATACACAGAGTGGAGCAATCCCTTAAATACCCCTAGCCTAGCTGGGATACTGGGATACAGGGAGTGTGGGCCTAGAAAAGAATCACTCCCCTGTACTGAACTGCAGGGAAGGAGGATGGAGCTTCAGGTGGAGACAGAAGACCATATAATGCCCAGCTGACTGGAGGGAAAAAGGGCCACTTGCCCTTCTAGTGTCTTTATCCCACTCTCCCTCTGTACCACCTAGGAAGGAAAAAGGGAAGGGAAAGGGAGAAACAAAAGGAAAGAAAGGAAAGGGTGTAAGAGGGAAAGGAAGAAAAAAAGAAAAGGAGAGGAAGGAGGAAAGGGGAACAGGTCAGGGGAGGGGAGAGGAGAGGAAGGGAAAAAAATCAAAAGAGAAGAGAACGAGTCACAAAATAGGGAAAAGAGATGGGGAGCTTTCTAGGATAATTTGGGTGGTAAAAAGTGACAACATGGGTCACAAAAAAATGGATTTGCTTTTGTTTTTGTTACAGAGAGTGTGTACTTGCCTGAGAGAGACAGAGATACAGAAAGAGGGAAAGTGAGGAATCGCCCCCTGGGGGGATGGCCATGCTGCAATCTCTTCTCCATTCTCCTCTCAGAAATTTGGGCACGCATGCACACACATGTACCTGGTACGATTTTTAAGCTGCCAGGTCCGCTATGTGAGATCCGGTGCCTTAACCTCCATGCCACCTGCTGCTGCAGAAATGGGCATATTGTTGCTTTTATCCTCTCTGCAGATGAACAGTCACTCGAATTTATAAGGGACAGGGATCACCCTCTTCTTGTTTCCAGATCTCAGGATGTGGTGCAGATATAAAGGTAGGGTTGGAACCGCCTCTCCAGGCTGTGGTCTCATGGCCAGACATCAAACTGCGCCCTTGGGTGTGTGACAGCATTGAAGCAGGGCATCAGCAGAGGCCAGAAGACTGGCCGGGTAGCTGGGAAGGAGAAAGAAGGGCATATAGGCCCCTTAGTCTACGTGTGGGACAGAGATAAAGAAAGGGAAAGAAATCAACGTAGGTAGAGGGTAGACTAAGCCTAGGAAGACCATGAAAGAGCAGAATCTCCAGGGGTCAGAGATCACAGGTAAACAACACCGCAGCTATGGGTATTCCATACATGAGTATACGCACTAGGCCCCAGGATGTGACTTCAGGGGAGCGGGGAGTACAGGGCCTGGTGTGCTGGAGACAGTGACCTAAATATTTTTTTTCTTTTTTTGGAGAGGATTTTGCTATAGGGCATGTGCGCTCGCCAGACAGACAGAGAGAGACAGAGAGACAGAAAGCGAGCAATCACCCCCCGGGGGCCATGGTCACGCCACAATCTCTTCTCCTCCATTCTCCCTTCGGGATCTTGGACACACACGCACACGCGCCCGGTGTGAGTTTAAGCCACTGGTTCCGGGCCTCAAACCACGGTCGATTACCTGGGAGTCCAGCGACATAGCCATTATGCTAACTGCTGGTCCCAAGAGATAGTGACCCAAATTTGTGAAGGGATCTCCAGAACCCTAGTATCTCCACGGTTGAGGAGACTGAGCCCAAGGTGGCTACCCTTCGTTGGGAACGTGTCAGGCACTGTGTTAGGTAAGTGTTGCAATTTGAATAGCTCTCTGAAAGTCATGTGTTAAACTATTATAATGAGATTAGGAGGGTGTAGACTTAATCCAATTATGATGTCAAAAGGTGGGGCCTTGGGAAAGAGATCAGGATTAAGGTCATTGGGGTGGGGCCCCATAATTGAGTTTGGTGTGTTTGTAAGAAGAAAGACCAGACCAAAAATGCATGGATGGACACAGTCACTCTGCTCTTGCCCTCATGATGTGACCAGATCTCTTATGGCTCCTTGGGTCTCCAAAACATGAGGTGAATAAACCACTAGTCTCTTAAAATAATCCAGACCCAGGTATTTTCTGTTATTAGCAATGGAATGGACTAGAACAGTAGATTGTCTAATTTAAGGAGAAGCTAAGACTTGGCGAAACTGAGTAATTTGTTTAGCTGTTAAGTGACAGTCCCTGGATTGACCCCAAATGTGACTGACTTTAAAACCCATACCCTTAAGCACCTGTGTAGGTCTGCTCTGGAGCCAGGAGTGAACACCAGCAGTTTTTTGAACCCAGAATCTGCCTTTCCCTCCTCAGTAAGGAACACGAGCCTGGGGCAGAGCAGCCTCCACCGGAGGATCAGCTCTCACTCCTGCTCGTCTCTGGTCCTTCTCTCCTTGGCTGACGTAGGCTATCTATCAGACTTGCCCTGGGCCCCTGCTCAGCAATGTTTGGACTGCTCTCTCACTTGTTCTGATTTCTCCCTGCTCACCCTGGTGTCTCAGACTATCCTATATGTACCCTGCCTCAGACCCCAGAACCAGGCCTTGTTAGAGTGGGGCAGAGGGAGAGGGCACCAGAGATCCCATGCCAAACACCCTTTGCAGACGAAGGCTCTGAGCTCCCCCAGGTGAGGTGTGCTGGCAGGGCTGGGAGTAGAACCCACAACTCCCTTTTGCTATTCTCCATGTTCTGGGCCAGGAGGCTCACAGGATCCCCTCATCTTTCTCTATTCATCAGAAAACAAGTAACTCTGTGCACACTTCAGCTCCCTGTAGGCATTTCTTACCCTGGATACAGAGTGATGTGAAGCAGACAGTGCCATACTTGCTGCTCACAGGATTGCTGACTTCACAGATGTAAAACTTGGAGAAGTTTTCTGGCCTAACGATGATTTCCAGCCTGCTGCTCTGGAGCTCCTTTGGAAGGAGCCCTGAGTAGTCATACCACCTGTAATTTACAGACTGGTCTGGCACCACACATGACAGATTCAGGTAACAGGTGTTGTGCTCTTTCTTTGCCTTCACAATGGTTATAGAAGGCTGAGGAACAGGATCTGGAAATAGAATGAGACAATGGATTTATGTATTTTTGAGGCATTTAGGCTGTGAGTACCTGAAGAGGTAGAGTCATGGAGGGGCGGTCCCTGCAGAGGGAGCCAGTGAGCAGCTTTGACCTCTTAGGCTCCAGACTGCAGAAGCTACTCCTTGGGGATGATACTAAGCTGGATCCAGAAGAGGGAGCCAGAATCCATGACATGCACCCAGGAACAAAGCTTGTGACCCTTCCTGAGCTAGATAGAATGGCCCAGTGCTGGCTGAGAGACCCGCTGGAGTCAGAATCAGAGTTGGTATGCCAGCTGGCTGAGATGTTCAGGGCCCTTTCTCTTCTTTTTTTTTTTTTTTTTTTGAGAGATTTTCGCTACAGGGCGCGTGTGCTCACCAGAGAGAGACAGAGACAGAAAGAGAGAAATCACCTCCAGGGGGGATGGCCACGCCGCAATCCCTTCTCCTCCAATCTCCTCTCGGGATCTTGGGCACGCACGCACACGCGGCTGGTGTGAGTTTTAAGCCACCGGGTCTGGGACGCGAACCGCGGTCGACTACGTGGGAGTCCAGCGACATAGCCATTATGCTAACTGCTGGTCCCAGGACCCTTTCTCTAGTGGTGGTCACAGCTGGCACGTTGGATAATCTGTGCCTCAAAAATTCTTGGGTTCAGATTCAGTGAGAATCCTGAGATAAGAGGTTCCACCTGGCACATGCAAAAACCCTTTGCATAACTACCTGGGGAAGGTGCTGTCTTCCTGGATTCTGGCAGAGCTGGAGGAAAATCTCCTGTAACCCCCAGCAGCACACACCAGAGGTGCTTAACAGCACTGTTCTGTTAATGTCCGTATCTGAGTGTCTAGGACAGTGCTTGCCACATAGCAGGTGCCCCACAAGTATCTAATGAAAGGATAAATGAAGGAATGAATCAGTTATGAAATAGAAAGGATGCTCGCTTTGGAGTGAGATTAGCCTGGGTCCTGAATGTAATTCTGGGAGAGGGACTTTGAACAAGGTGTTTACCCCGTCTATAAAATAACTCTACCTCACAGCATGCTATTAATAAGATAAAATGGCACCGTCCATGGGAAGCACTTTTGTCGGTTGTAAACATGGCCCACATCTAGAGGTCACCTGGTCATCATGACTGTCAGCCTGCTGCCAGATGGGATGAGAGGCAATCCTAACTTCTGGCCCTTGTTTAACTAGGGCCGGTTTACCTCAGCTCCTCTCGGATTCTTTCATTCTAGTCAACGGTAGAACACAGAATGAGTGCAGTTCAGACCCCATCGGGTTAAAACTGGCAGAGGACTTACAGGTCAGAGCTTGCTTCTGGGTTGTATGTGTGGAGAGGCTATAGAAGCACTTCCAACCTGGGCTGTGGAAGTCTAGTTCCATCTCCTCCATGAAAGCCCTCTCAGATTGTTGTACTCCCCCACATGCTTTTTTTTTTTTTTAAATTTAATTTTTGGATAGGGCATTTGTGCTTGACAGAGAGAGGGAAAGTGAAAAAGTACCCTTCTGGGGGTAGAGCCCCTTCTTCATTCTCCTCTAGGAATTTTGAGCACATACACACACATGTCCAGTGTGTTTTTCAAGCTGCGAGGTCAGGGACTCAAATTGCTCAGTCAGCCATATGGGATCCAGCTGCCTTCACCTCCACACCATCTGCTGGCTTCCACCCCCCTTGACACACATGCTTTCATTGAGCAATGTTTACGCTGGCTTTCATCACTTCCTGTGTTCTGACTCGTGTCTTAACACTCCTGCACTTCCCCCACCTACTCACCAAGCACCTTCAGGGTGATCTTCCACTCTTGCAACTTCCCATCCGTCTTCAACACCCTCATGAAGTAGGTGCTGCTGTCTTCTCTCTGGACATTAGTGATATGTAGGGCACCACTTTGACGAATAAGCTGGACCCTGTCTCTAAATTGAAGACCAAAGGTCCTTGGCTGGTTGTGCTCCCATTCTATAATCTTCTGGCTGTGACTGTAAAACCAGGTGAGTCTCTTGTAGTCCTGAGGCAGGCTCTCAGAGATTTGCAGAGTCACATTGCTGCCAGAGAGCTTGAACATCTCAGGCACTGAATGATCTGCTGATGAGAATCAGAGCGAGAGTCACCTTAGAGAAGCCCACGGTTTTAGCCTGGGCTAGTGAGGCAAGGAGGAGAGAAAGGATTTCTGCCCAGGAGCAATAAGCATGGTCTTCACCAGAGGTCCTAGTTCTCTGATCAGAAAGTCAATGAAAGTTGAAGTTTGAGAAGTAGGCGTGTTGTTTATAATCCGTCTATGTTTACCCCTGGACAATAAAGGAAAAGGACACCAAGGTTGGTCCCGTGGTAGGAGTGTGCCTGCTATGATTTGAATGTGTCCCTCCAAACCCATGTATTGAAATCTGGTGAGCCATTTTAACAATGTTGAGAGGATGGAGATGTAATTCAACTGTGATGTGAGAAGTCAAGGCTTTTGGGAAGCAATTGGGCATCAGCGTAGGACTCCCGTGACTGGAACCTGATGGCTACAAGGACATACAGACACAGACACACATGCATGGTCTCTGTTCTGCCCAAGCTTTTTTCTTGTTTTAAGAGAGAGATTTTGCTATAGGGCATATGTGCTTGCCAGAGAGAAGGGGAGAGAAAGAGAGACAGAAAATGAGAAATCACACCCCCTCCCCCCCCCAGGGTGGATGGCCATGCTACAATCCCTTCTCTTCCAGTCTTCTTTTGGGATTTTGGGCACACACACACATGCACCTGGTGTGAGTTTGAAGCTGCCAGGTCTGTGACTGGAACTGCATAGAAATGACCCAAGATCTTCCCCAAGGCACATCATAGCCAGATTGACCAAAACCACAGACAGAGACATGATACTAAAACTGGCAAGAGAGAAATGTCAAGTTAATTTCAAAGGATATCCCATAAGGCTAACATTGGACCTCTCATCAGAAACAATGCAAATAAAGAAAGAATGAGAAAATGTATTCAAAATGTTAAGTGAAAAACACTTTTGACTAGAAATACTATACCTGGCAAGATTAACTTTCATATGGAAAAAAAAAGACAAAAATATTCTCAGATAAACAAAACCTGAAAGAATTTACCAACACCAGACCAGCTCTCCAAGAAGTGCTGAAGGGAGTGCTATACCAGAAAAACTAAAGTCAGACAGAAATAAGAGTATAAGAAACAACCAAGAGAATGGCCAACCTAATGGTAAGGACAAGTCTGGAGCTGAATATTAACTTCCAGAGTTTAAATGGAAAGATCAGACTACAGTAACACTGCAAATTCAATAAAAGAGAGATTAATTATGGGAGTCTGAACTAGTGAGACAGAATTTTTTTACTTGAGACTAAAACATTACTGATTTTCTTTGATGCTTTGATTTCTGTGTTTAAGGATTTTTGACTTCTCTTGAACTGTTGATAGGTTTGTCTACCTACTATTTGAACTGAATCCTAACCTTTTCCCTGGCTTTCAGTTTTAAGCAAATTTCTCTTAACATCTTTTGATTTTGATCTATTAAAACAAAATTTATTTATATTAAAAATAGTACCAGTAGATAGTGTAATGGCTACATTGCTGGACTCCCATGTAGTAGACCACAGTTCGAGTCCCAGACCTGGTGGCTTAAACTCACACCAGGTGTGTGTGTGTGCATTCCCAAGATCCTGAGAGGAGAATGGAGTAGAAGGGATTGTGGTGTGGTCATCCCCCTTCGGGGGGGGGGGTAATTGCTCTCTCTCTGTCTTTCTGGCAAGAGCATGCACCCTATAGCAAAACTTTTCCCCTCCAAAAAAATGCATTAAAAATATCTATTAATATCTATTTAATGACTGCAGTGAGCTATATAGCCCCAGCAAGGTGCTACTTTGTAGTATGTTCTTTTTACTCACTGAGGATTATGCCTATAGTAAGACATGTGTTTATAAATATGTATATATCAGTTGTTCTTGCTATTGAAAGTCTTTAAATTAATTAATATTTTTAGTGAATCCATAAAATGAAAAAACAAAGGCATGGAAAACAACTGTACATGCCAGAGACAGTATGGAAGAAGGGGGAGGAGGGAGTTGGCAGAGGATGAGAGGTAGGGAATTAAGGGAAGAAAAGCACAAAGGCATATAAGAAACAAGAAATAGAAACAAGAAATAGAAAATTATTTGTTGATTTGTCAACTGTTTAAAACTTGTGATTTGTTGAGAATTCTTTTCTTATTTTAACTAACTGATTTTTGTTTTGATTTGTATTTGTCATTGTGATCTTTATTTTCTCCTTCTTCATGAGGATACCTCACATTGTATAAGTCTCAGGTTATAAACAAACAAACACCTGGTTGAGTTAGGAGGAAGAAAAGATAATAGCTAAATGGTGCAAGATGGAAAAAGTTCTGTTGGCTCTTTTTGTGGAAGGAGAAGTAAGAATCTGTGTACATAGGCTTAGAAAGAGCAGTAGAAAAAAGCTAAATGCAGAGGAAAGGGGGAATATGACCCACAGCACTCTGGTGTCAGATTCTGTCCCCAAATCTCAGTCATATTCTTCAACATTGCTCACATCTAGATATTCACTTTCCACATGATTGTCATTTCAAAAACATTCTCTTCAAGATAAAAATGTCTGTGTCCCCAGGGCTTTCAAATTCCTATTTATTCATCCTTCCAACTATCCATCCATTCACCAAATGTTCATGGAAGAGGCCAGATGGTGACATAGAAATAAACATCAGTGCTTTGCAAGGTTAATCCATGCGGTAAGGTTCCCAATTCATATCCCGAAATCTCCCTGGGTATGCCAGACACACATGCATCCATGACTCAAGACTGGCTGAGGCTGGGTGTGGACAGTGGTGTGGAGATCCTGTTGGGGGTGTTATCCCTCTGTCTCTCTCTCTGTCTCTCTTGCTTACAAAAAATAGATAAATAAAACCAAGGCCAGGCCTATCTTGAGATAGTTACTCAGAATTTCAGCTGTGAAATATTGCTTTTCTTGACCAAAAATGAAGATTTTTCTACTGAGACTTCCCCCTCCAGAATTATTTCTACCTCTAGGCACTAAGTGTCTAGGAAGGTCCAAGTCAACAGGATCCTAACATCTGAATACAATTAGGGTCAGAATATTCATCTATTCCCACTGAATCTGATGCACAAAGAGTGAAAATGGAACAGAAGAGAGATTGCAGATCACCTTCTTTTGCACACCTCTGAATATGCAGATTGAACTTTGAGAATTAGGCAGAAACACACCATCCATCAGATGACTAGAAATCACCACAGGGTCACAAGAAATATGGGAAAGCAAGAAAATATCTCTCTTACAAGGGAAAAGAATAATTCCTCTTCATCCTCAGACAGTACAATGAAACTCATGGAAATGTCTGATAAAGAATTTAGAATGTTCATTGTGACAAGGATAACAGAGATGGAAGAGAAGAGAGACAATGAACTGCAGAAGAGGTAAGAGAAAGGAGCTGACAAGTTCCAGGAGGTGAGGAAATTCTTGCAAGATCTGAAAGAGGAAATACACACTATAAAAAAAGAATCAAATGGGCCTGTTGGAGATGAAGGTTGTAATACGGGAAGTCAAAACCTCCCTTGAAACTATTAAAATCAGACTAGATCATACAGAAAATCGAATTTCAGTTGTAGAAGATAGAATTGCTAGCCTAGAAAAATCCACCACAAAGACTGAGAAAATACACCCCCCCAAATGAGAATAATATAGGAGAAATACTAGATACCATCAAAAGTCCAAACATCCAGATTATTGGTTTCCCAGAAGGTGAAGAAACTCATAAGAGCATTGATAATCTATTCCATAAAATCTTGTAAGAAAATTTTCCAAACCTAGAGGGGCATTCAAAGATCCAGTCTCAAGAAGTACAAAAACACAAGAGATGGGTGTGAATGCCAGATGTGGTGTGTGTGGAGGAGTGAGGCCTGGGGAAAAACATTTGGAGGAGGGATACGGAGACAGCATTGTTGAGACAGAGAGGTAGTATTGTTATATTTTGATCAACTGGATCGGGGAGAAATGTTCACATATTGAAATGATCACCTTGTAAGCTAAATAATGTAATTGAATGTATTTAAAAATGTAAGAAAAAAAAAAAGAAAATATAAAAGAAGAAAAAAGAAGTACAAAGGATCCCAAATAGAATCAACCCAAGAAGATCTTCTCCAGAACGCATTATAGCCAGATTGACCAAAGCCACAGACAAAGACAAGATACTAAGATTGGCAAGAGAGAAACGTCAAGTTACCTACAAAGGATAACCCATCAGGCTAACAGCAAATCTCTCATGGGAAACAATGTGAGCAAGGAAAGAATGGGGAAATATATTCAGGGTATTAAGGAAAAAGCAATTTCAACCAAGAATACTGTACCCGGCAAGATTTTCCTTCACATGGGAAGAAAAGACAAGAACATTCTTAGATAAACAAAACCTGAAAGAATTTACCAATACCAGACCAGATCTACAAAAATTTCTCAAGGGAGTGCTATACCAGGAAAATTAAATATAGACACACAGAAATAAGAGTTCAAAAACTAAGAAACTTAATCATAGGGTGTGGGAGGCTGTGCACCAGCGAATATCGCCCTTAGGTTTTGGTTTCTCAGCAAACAATTACACAATGGCAAAGGCCATGATTGGCTCCCCTTCAAAACCTCACCTTCAAAACCATACATTGATTGGCCACTTCCCATAGCAAATCGGTGAGCTTAGAATCCCTCTGATTTGCATATCCGGCACCTCATGATTGGTCCACAAAAGGAACCAATCATAACCCACCTTTTAACAACCAATCACTGCCCACCAACATGTATATAACCACGATCCCTGACCCACAATCGCCAGACGACTCTGAAGACCCTGAAGAGCTGTGACACTGCGTCGTCTCCAGAGGACCCTGAAGACCCTGAAGAGTTGTAACACTGGGTCATCTCCAGACGACCCTAAAGAGCTGTGACACTGCGTCATCTTTGGACAACCCTGAAGAGCTGTGACACTGTGTCATCTCCATGCTGCCCACAATAAACGGATGACCCTGAAGAGTTGTAACACTACGTCGTTCATCCCATCTCTCACTCCTTCC